TGTAGGACGCGCCGCCTGCGCGGGCTGAGTCCCCCCGCTTATTCTGCGCCGAGCAAGAGGGACCTCATCCTCCTCGCTCTCTATCTCCTCGCGTGCACGTCTGCGTGCACCAGGCGCCGCAGCCTCAGCCTGTGATCGGCTCGGCCTTGACGACGAGCGGGATCCCCGGTGTGACGAGCCGCGTGATTGAGGCGCCGGGGTGGCCGCTCGTCAAACCTTGTCTGCCGGGGTTGTGCGCTGCCAGACGCACGACCTCGTGAGCCTTGGGCTCGCTGTCGTTGGCATTCCAAGATGCTGCTCATGTCTCCTACACAGAAAAACGCATAAGACTCAGCCCGGCTAGAACTAGTGCTATATGATAAAAACATACCTTCGCTGAACAGGTTTGTCACATCGACAAACCCGAACACGACGAGATGCTCCGAGGTAACCAGGGCTTCTAGATCTATTAGACCCTCCCTCTGCGCATACTCAAGCAGCTGGTTCTTCAGATCGACATCCCAGGGCAGTAGCTGAGGATAGTTGATATGAGCGTTGGGGGTGCGCCACTCAGACAGCCGAGCAGCGAGGTCGTTGCTTATCCTTTCTGCTCGTGTGTAGCGAACAAAAATAAACTGTCTCTTCCACCTCGCTACCTTGTTCCTCACATTTTTGAAGAGCTGGCTCTTATCCCTCCCAGAGAGGTAGTACCACTTCGCTCCTCGTGAGTTCGGACACAACCGGCATTGGAATAGCGACCTGAACATTATCGCTTTAGCTGGTACCTCCAATCTCGCGCACAACAGCATAAAGCCTATGATGAACCTTATGCTGTTGGGCATTAGCTGCGTCAACGCCAGCTCGTAATCCGCGAGCAGATCGAATATCAGGCCGGGTAGGGGAAACCGCAGGTCGGCATCAAAGTGGTCCGCATACACTGGTATCCAGCCCGTTTGCGACACTGTGCACGCCTTTTCGTTCTGCCCGCCTGTCCGCAGCAATATGGTCTTGGGGATGTGGTACGCCCTCACCATCTCCTCGAGTCTTTTATACCCACTTATGGAGGGCGCACAGTCTGCTACTTCATGATGAAGTGCAGCCTTGAACCTGAATCCAGCGGGCAGGTCCTTCGGTGCTTTTCGTAGGTTACTTAACCTGCCCGGGATTGTCACGCCTTCCCATTCCCCAACCACCAGCCGATCTGAGACACTGCTCACCACATCCCCCATCCCTTCTTCACGGCTGGGTGTCTCTTCAATAGACGAGCTGCTAGAAGACGCAATAGTAAGGTCGCCACCATCATCCCCAGTGCTCGAACTGGTGCTTCCCTCAGACGCCATCGTTTCCGGCAAATCCTGCAACTCAGGCGGCACTATCATCGTGATAGGCTCCACTGACAAAATCCCTTCCTCTTCTCCTTCTCTGCCCTGGTTACCTCGTTGCTCTGTAAGTTCTCTCAATGAAACCATTTTACCTGAAAGTATTGCGAAGTTGATTCGGCGTACTGAGTCTTCAAGCTGGAGCGTTTCGCTGGAGAGAATTCTGGAAAGTTCAAGCAAACACAGAAATGAAAATGGAAAAGGAAACGGTTACGCAGAGAAGGATATGGCAGTGTTAATTGCCGTGCGCGTGTTTCTGACGAGCCAACTAGCGTCCCACACGTGGCAGGCGCTTAACGCCCCTCCTGCATAACGTGCGCCGGCTTTAGCTGTCACGTCCCTCGAATGCTGAGCCAGCATTTATGACGGGGAAGGCAGAGAGATATGGGAAGTTCAATCGTATCTCCTCAAAGATTTGCTTGACTCAAAAATCTCAAGATTCAAATCGTAACTGCTGATGTGTACCCTATACTGTCACATCAGCTCGCTGTTGCGAGCACACCTACCAGGTCGTTACAAAGATGACATATTCGCCAGATCGGCTCAACCGTGCCAGTTCGTTCACAAGTGTAGATCGTTTACTAAAATCCCCCTAGATTCAGTATCGCAGCTCACACCAGGCCGCAAACCTTTGCATAAATCAATGGGTGCCTGAGGTCGCCCTATTTGACAGCACTACTCATGCGAGCTGATAAAGTGGTGGTCTAAAACCGCAAGTCGCACTGCATGTGGGGTCGCATCGCCTCACCTCGTAATCATGGCTAACTGAGCGTCACCTGGTCGCACTTCGGTAGTACTCAAAGGTCAGGTCGCCACATGGACGAGCTGAAAGAGGGTTATATACATGGTTGATCCCTGTGCGAGCTCGGCTATCACAAGCCCACACTAGTGCTACTAAGCATATCAGCTCGCCTCCATGCTTTTAGACTCGCGAGCTCGCCTCTTTTCGCATTACCTCTCAACTCGGCCATTGCCAAGGTCGGCCGTAAGCTGTTAAAGCTGCCCGTCATAGTTACCAGATAGAACGTTGACCCACGGTCACATCCATCACAGTTCGTCAACCGAACACCGGGGGGGAATAATGTTGGAATAGGCCCAATAGGGCCCAACGCTCAAACAGGGCTGTGCATAACGAGCCTAGGTTACCACCTATTAGCCCAAGCTGAGGGCGCATCAGTACAAGCATACCCATGTGATCAGCGCCACGCGGGTTGAGGGGATGCTTACACGTGCAGATGTATGTCAGCACCCAGGGGCTATAAATATCCCCCAACTACCTCCGATGAAGGTAATTAATCTCTATGCCTCTCTCTCTGCAATTACTCATTGAGAGTATCTCTCTCTAGAATACTGAGTATTGCTGACTTGAGCGTCAGAGTGTTTTCCCCGAGGAAACAACCTCGGGATTTTCAGGTGTAGAAGCAACTGAGGACTTCAACAGTGTTGGATTGCGAAGCTGCCGAAACAAGTGGGAATGGCAAGGTTGCTTACATTGACACTGAAGGAACTTTGTATCCTATGTGTTCTTAAA